TAAATTAGACGACAGATAGCTAGATAGATAACAGATATGAATTAGATGATAAATAGATAAATAATAGATGATAAATGGATGGATAAATAGGTAATTTATAGATGATATAGACAGGTTACATAGGTAGATGGATGATGTTGTTTTTGTTGTTAAGTGCCGTGGAGTCGGTTCCAACTCATAGCGACCCTGTACAGGGTTTCCGAGGCTGTAAATCTTTACGGGAGCAGAACGCCTCATCTTTCTCCCGCGGAACAGCTGGTAGTTTCGAACCAGTGACCTTGCGGTTCACAGCCCAATTTGTAACCACTACGCTAGATAAATTAGATAAATGATAGAGATTTGATAGATTAGATAGTAGATAGATAGATAGACAGAAAGACAGACAGACAAAACAGCGCTGTTTGTTATCAGTAGCTATTGAGCAGACTCTGATGGGGACCCCATGTGCAGAGTAGAGTATGTGCTCCATAGATTTTTCAAGACTGTGACCTTTGGGGAGAAGATCACCAGGTGCTTGTCCCCAGTAGGTGAGGGTTGGTGGTCCAGGTGTCACATCCACATCCATAAAGCAACCCCATGAAGAATGCAGTGTTCCATTCGTGATGAGCCAGGGGATTCCTACTTGAGGACATTTGTCTAGTCACTTGGCAAACTACCAAGAACATGACCATGTTCTCTACCTGGTTCTCAATGGTCACCCCACTGCAAACTGTACCCCGAATGGTGGGTGAGGATGAGCAGACCACCGTCTCCCCACCAGCCCCCAGCTCCTCACCCCGTCTCCTCCCAGTGTCTAGGACTACCCTTCCTTCCTCTGCCCACAGCTCAAGATGGGAGCGCTACTGTTCATGCCAAGGGGCCCTAGTGGAGCTGACTGGCCTGGAGGTATCTGGAACAATGGGGAGGGAACAGGCTAGGGCAGACCAAGTGTTCCTGGCTGGCTCCAGGATGAAACCAGAGATTCCAGAGAGATCCCTGAGAGATGAGCAGGAGTCTGAAGAACCCACAGCAAGTGCCATATATACGCATGCGGCAAGGCAGGGTCTTGGAGGGAAAGGGGTCCCAGCCAGGATGCAGGCCTAGTCCCACCAGAGACACCATAACTGTCAAAACCAAGAGGAACAACGCTTAGAACAGCCTTCAGATCAGACCCCAGCGCCAACTTCATTTGTCAAATCTGCTAAACAGGATAGCTGAATTGTTTCTTGGGAGCAAAGTTGGCGAGACTCAGTCTCTCATACTTTGGATGAACTATCTCTGGAGAAGGCCATCATGCTTGGTAATGTGGACGGTCCATGCAAAGAGGAAACCCCAAGAGAGATGGGACGGACACAATGGCTGTAACAGCAGCTTCACACAGCCACTACTGTTGAGGGTGGTGCAGGACGGGGCAGTGCTTCCTTCTGTTGTCCATGGGGTCATTACGAGTGGGGATCAACTCAATGGCACCACCACCACCAACAACCCATCACTCTCCTTCTGGACAACCCGTTCTCCAGGGCCTTTTCATCTAGAACAGAGTGGAAATGAATCGCCAATACTCTGTGATCTGATCCTGACCCCCATCCCCAGACTGTGCAGGAGCACGGAATGTGTGCACAAACACGCAGGATTCATGTTAGCATGGAGTATGTTCATCAACACCTAGTGTGCCTGTTAACACACAGCATACACTGACAGGCGCTGTGCACACTAACATGTTGTATTGCACTAATGTGTTGCATGTGTGTTGACATGTAGGGTGTGTACATGGAACCCAGTGTGAGGACATTGTAGGGACGCTGGTACTGGGACCAGAAGGTTGGTTATGAATTGCATTAATTGAATGGAAAATCAATTTGCTCTGCATACCTTCGCCCAAATCCCAAGTTAAAAAGAAAGAAACCATCCAGCATACAGTAATTGTTTGCCATTAAAATCAGAATTTTTACCTTGTCCTAGGCAAAGTCAGCAGTTCAAACCCACCAGCTGCGCCTCGGAAACCCTATGTAGGGTCACTGTGAGTCAGAACTGACTCTATGGCACTTAGCAACAACAGGCCCAGGATCACGGACCTTTTACTTACAATCCTCATGACAAATCTTTCAGGATGATATGTGAAGAAACGAGGTCCAGAGAGGTTAAACAACTTACCCAAGATCACACAGCAAACACATTAACAGAAGTGAGATGTGACTGCAAGTCTGCCAACAGATCTGAAGTGTGAGTCGTCGCCAGAAACACACATACAGAAACAGTGTCACAGCAAATGGCGTCTGAGGAGGGCGGGGGACACCCCAATTCTCCCTCACAGGTTTGTCGGTCTTATTGGCTCATACGTTTGTTCATTCACTCCTTTCAAAAATCAACCAATGCAAACCCCTGGCAGATCACAATGACCCACAGCTAACTGTGGTATGGCACAGGATGGGCAGCGTCGGTACATGGGGTCGTTGTTGAGTTGGGGCCGGGGACATGAGAGCACACAGGATACACAGCCACTACCTTTAGGGCCATGAGGGAGCTGAGTGGAACCACACATGCACACGTGCTGGCGTCACAACAAAGCTCCACACTTTCGTTCCACAACGGGGTGAGAGGAGGTGACCACGGAGATGCCCCCAATGTGCTTGTGTCTCTGTGTAGGAAGGGTAGGTGGGAGGACCAACCCCCTCCCTCCATCCTTAGCCTGTAAATTCTCAGAGTCTCTCCTGCATCATGAAGGATTCTGGGAGGTGCAAACTCATTAGCTGGTCCTCCTCCCAAGTGAGTGTCAAGGCAGTGCCTGTGAGGTATTAGCACCTAATTAATGAAACCTGTTCACCCACAACCACATGAGAAGCAGCGCCTCCCAGACTCACAAGATGCACGCAGCCCTGGCTGCCTGGCTGCAACCCCTTGGTGTACTTAGCCCTCAGGCGGGCAGCTGGGACAGCCCAGCCTCTTAGAGGAGACAGACACCATCTGTATCAGCCAAAATCGAGGGGCAATTTTTGTGTGTAGCATTCACCAGTATCAGCTGAGGGTCTGCTTGTGGTGAGTTTGACACAGATTGGTGACTATAGCCACCACACTGTCTCCATCTCCGTGACTCTCACGTAATTGTGGAGAAGGAAGAAACACGCAAGAAGACAACAAACTAAGTGAATTTCAGAAGGTGATATAAGCTCCAAAAGAGGCAAACCAGAAACTGAGAGATGGACCAAGAGAGTGTCCAAAGTTCTCT